TAAAATACCTGAGGAGACCAGTTGTTGGACATTTTAGAGGATCTCAAGAGACCTGATGTTGGACGTTTTAAAATATCTCAGGAGACCAGGTGTGGGACATTTTAGAGGATCTCAAGAGACCAGATGTTGGACATTTTAAAATACCCGAGGAGACCAGTTGCTGGGGGATTTAGTTGACCTGTAGAGACCAGATGTTGGAGGTTTTAGATGACCTGAAGAGACCAGATGTTGGAGGAAGACCAGTTGTTGGAGGTTTTGGAAGAAACTGAACTGTGAGCTGATAACAGGCTGGATGTTTTCTCTCCCCTTTAGTATGGAGGACACGTTGACCGTTGTTTCCAAGCAGAACTTTGGATCTTGACCCGTCTGACCTCAGAACTAGAACCAGACCAATATAGAAATTTTGTCTATCGCCAGTACAGGTATTGGGAGGGACAGGCTGATGCCAATAATCGATATAATGGCTGAAATTTTTGATCTTTGTCCACCATGAATGTAAGTGAACAGCTATTTTTAAACCTGTTTTAACGCTTGAAGTCTTGAACCAGTCTTCATAACGTGCTTTTACATTTTCTGTCTTCCACTATTCACTTTAAAGTTATCAAGTGTGTTACAAAAATATAAATTAAAGAAACACCTTCTCTGTTCATCGTTTGCACAGTCAGTCACGTTTGATGGAGGTCTAATTAGTATTGACCGCAGCAGAGTTTGTTTCTTTGCAGAGAAGTAAAGAGTTCAGACAAACAAAGCATTTCACTGAGGACGACCAAGATATCGTCACTAACACTGATATATTTTACCTCTACCTTACATTTATTGTTCTGGATAAATATTTACGAGGCAATAGCTTATGCTAAATGTTAGCTTGCTAACTTGAGAGGCACAAGAGAATTTATTATCGTTGATCTATTTTACAGATCAGTTACAATAAACTTACCATGCTCTCTACATTGTACAGTTTCGTCTTTTTCCGTCAGGACACGGCTTGTTCCGTGTTTATATTTGGGCATGGGACAATTCTCACCGGTACCGATGGGTCCCCAAACGCCTATATCGGCCTAAAATATCGACCCTACCGATGTATCGGTCAGGCTCTACTCGGAGCAGTTCTGGACTTCACCTCTGGTTCTGTTCACATCTGGCTTCTTTGTCTGAAAGAGCTTTAAGCAGCATCTGTGGACGAACTGTGTGTGAACAGAACCAGACCTGGTTTTAACGCAGTGACCCCTGAGGGCCTCGTCCTTTGAGCTCAGATTTCTACAGATTCTTCTAATCTGTGGATCAGATTATGAACTGGAGATGATGGAGATTAAAGTCTTTCATTCAGGAACTTTATTCTGAAAGAGTTCCACTGGTTTTGAACAGCCTGATGGTCAACCTCTGCCCATCTTTACTTCTAAAGTGTTCATCTCCAGTCCTCTGATTCACCTGATTAGTTACTAAATGCTCCTCCAGCTGGTTCTGATTGGGACCACTTCCTGTTCCAGCCTTTTGTTTTGGAACAACTCTGTTGAGACGTGTTGCTAAAATTAAGTTCAGATTTACCAACTTTTATCCCCTAAGTGTGTTAAGTTTGTTTAAGTTTGGTCTATTTTGAATAAAATATGATTTTATGGGATTTGTAAATCATTACATTCAGTATTTATTTACATTTTACACAACATTTAGAAGAAACTGGGATTTTTTTTTTAATATTTTTACTTATTTGTTGTTTTTTTTTTAACAAGAAAACACTGCTACAGATTCTAGTTGCCAAAAATTAACGTAATAACTTTCTACGCCTTTTTTGCAACTAGCAACATTTTAACAAACTGTTTTCCAAAATTTTAATCCATTTATTTATTTATTTGTTTGTTTTTATGATCAATAATTACTGTTCAGATAATGAGACATACGTCGACTAATTTTAGGTCAAATTTAGTTTCTTCTTGTCGTCAGTCTTCATACTTTATACTCAGTTTGCGTGAATAAAATATATCTTTTAATATTCCTGAAATGCTTTGAAATAAACCACAAGTTTTTAAATAATTTAATTTTCAAATCATTTTATTCTGTATCTTTATAATTGATCTTTTCTAAAGATTGTTGTTAATATTAATTTCACTTCACACAAATTCACGTTTATTTTCATCAATTTCTGGATTCCTGTCTGACACAAGTTATAATGTTGTAATTATTATTAGTTATGATGAGCACCTTAAAGTGCGGCTGGAGTGAACTCGGGTCAGTAACATTAAAGAGTTCTAACGGTTCGACCCGGAGCCGTGGCCCAGTTTCAGTCTCTTTTCTATTTGAACTTTTTGAAACTCAGATTGTTTCTTCCTGTAGAACAGCTTCACCTGAAAGCTGCATGTTTGAAAAGGCCGACCAGCAGCTGTCTGTCTGACTGACTGTCTGTCTCTCTGGACTGTCTGGACTGTTTGTCCTGGACTCTAGACGGTCTGTGTCTCTACACTGTATGTCTCTCAGGTCTGTCTGTCTCTCAGGATCGTTTGTCTTTCTAAAACCGACTGTCTCTATACACGTCTGTCTTTCAGATCTGTCTGTCTTTCTGTGTCTCTGGACCTTCTTTCTCTCTGGACCTTCTGTCTCTGTACTGTCTGTCTCTCTGGACCATCTGTCTCCCTGGACCGTCTGTCTGTCTCTCTGGACCGTCTGTATCTCTGGACCTTCTGTATCTCTGGACCTTCTGTCTCTGTACCGTCTGTCTTTCTGGACCGTCTCTCTATACACCGTTTTTCTTTATGGATCAACTGGACTGTCTCTATACACGTCTGTCTCTCTGGACCGTCTGTCTCTCTGGACCGTCTATGTCTCTGGACCATCTGTCTGTCTCTCTGGACTCGCTGTCTCTCTGGACTATGTCTGTCTCTCTGGACTCGCTGTCTCTCTGGACCATCTGTCTCTCAGATCTGTCTGTCTGGACCGTCTGTCTCTCTGAACCATCTGTCTGTCTCTCTGGATCGTCTGTCTCTCTGGACCGTCTGTCTCTCTGAACTGTCCGTCTCTGTGGACCCTTTGTCTCTCTGGACCATAAGTCTCTAAGGTCTGTCAATCTGTCTGGACCGTCTGTCTCTCTGAACCATCTGTCTGTCTGAACTGTCTGTCTCTCTAGACCCACTGTCTCTCTGGATCATCTGTCTCTCAGGTCTGTCTCTCTAAACTGTCTGTCTCTGAACTGTCCGTTTCTCTGGACCCTCTGTCTCTCTGGACCATCTGTCTCTCAGGTCTGTCTGGACTGTCTGTCTCTGAACCATCTGTCTGTCTCTCTTGACCATCTGTCTCTCAGGTCTGTCTGTCTGGACCGTCTGTCTCTCTGAACCATCTGTCCGTCTCTCTGAACCATCTGTCTGTGTCTCTGGACCGTCTGTCTCTCTGAACTGTCCGTCTCTCTGGACCCTCTGTCTCTCTGGATCATCTGTCTGTCTCTCTGGACCCTCTGTCTCTCTGGATCATTTGTCTGTCTCTCTGGACCGTCTGTCTCTCTGGACCGTCTGTCTCTCTGGACCGTCTGTCTCTCTGGACCGTCTGTCTCTCTGAACTGTCTGTCTCTCTGGACCGTCTGTCTCTCTGGATCATTTGTCTGTCTCTCTGGACCATCTGTCTCTCTGAACCGTCTGTCTCTCTGGACCGTCTGTCTCTCTGGACCATCTGTCTCTCTGAACCGTCTGTCTCTCTGGACCGTCTGTCTCTCTGGACCGTCTGTCTCTCTGGACTGTCTGTCTCTCTGGACCGTCTGTCTCTCTGGATCATTTGTCTGTCTCTCTGAACCGTCTGTCTCTCTGGACCGTCTGTCTCTCTGAACTGTCTGTCTCTCTGGACCGTCTGTCTCTCTGCTGGCTCGGCTGGTCACTGCAGAACTCCTTAACGGGTCGTAGATGATCCAGAACATTTCCTGCTTTTTCCAGCAAACAGCCGCCGTGCTTCACTGAGAGGACCCGTTCGTTTGTTGTTGTTGTTGTTGTTGTTGTTGTTGTTGTTGTTGTTGTTGTGTAACTTTGTGTAGATGCACGCGCTTGTAGCAGCTGGAGTGGACACACTGACGTGCACGAAATCGATCGTTCTGTGTAACAATCGCAGCTTCTCAAGACTGTGTTGAAAGTAGTTTGTTGCAGCTGGAGTAGATTTAAACTCGTTTCCCGTTCGTCAACGGAACAGAACTCTTCGAGGAATAAAAACGATTCTCGGAGACGTCCGGACAGAAAGAGGGTCACCGGGTCACCGGGTGGATTCAAGGTTCATTACTAGACAGAGAGAGAAAGACATTAAAAATTAAAATGGTGTTATTTTATCATCTGCTGCTACTTTATATTTATGAATTCAGTTTTAGCTTTAATCTGCAAAAACTTTGTTTTTCCTGGAAAAAAAAAAGTCCAACTTAAGTTTTCATAAACCGATTTTAGTCGGTTTGAATTCGTTAGGTTTTGACTTCATCGTTTCTAACTCGGAGAACTCAAACTTCTGGTTGGAGTCAGTTTGTCGCTCGTAGGAGGCGTTTAGATGTTTCAAACACTTCTGATTGAACAGAGTTAAGAAGATGTTTGGATCTGGAGTAAAACGTCACAAGTAATTTATCTAAAGCAGCTTCAGACTGATCTCAGTTTAGGTTCGTTAAATGATGTCAGTCGGACAGTCGGTGGCCTGCAGCTGAGGAGCTCCTCAGAGCCGAGCTGGAAGCGGGTCGGTCTAAACCTGCGTCGAGCTCATGACAAAGGCCCTAACTTCACCTGCAGACACTTTGGTCTTTACTCTTCAGTTTGCAGCGGCGAAGCCTCGAACCTGTGACGCAGCTCGTGTTTGAACTCTCTGCAGGACAGAACGTCGGCAACAAAACCTCCAGACACAACTGAGCCGACAGTTTAAACCAGGATTCGTTATATAACCAGGATGTCCTCCTCTCAAACAGCTGACCGGCTGCTGGTTCTGTTGTTCGCTGCTGGTCTCGTTTTCTAATTTATTAACGTTTAGTCCCTCCGCCCCACACTGTCGTACGCACACGGTGTGTTTGTACAATTACTCATCTCTTCAAACCCACACAGCTGCACTTTACTTGAGGTTTTAGTATTTTAATACCTTCCGATTACCTAATCATCACAACATCTGTTGCTTTATTTTGCACGATTGTGTGCAGGCTTAATTAATAAAAAGTTTTATTATTTGACATCAAGAATCAGTCGTGTTCTTAAGGTAAATTTAAGAAAATTAACTATTTTCAGTTTTCCTCTTTGAGCCAAACAAGTTTCCAGTAGAGCTCAAAAAGTCACCAGCCTGAAAGGTAAACAGGAAGTGCAGTCTTTATTTGAACGGTCTTTAAAATCGACCAGATTTGAACTAAAAGGGGATCTATTTTGCAGCATGAGTTCATGAAGGACGTGGAGATTTTAGGGGCTAAATTAAAAAAAAAATTAAACTTGAGCTAAAATTTAGTTGTGGTTTATTACAAGTAGAAAAAACCTGAGGCCAAAAAGCACAAAACGTTTAATAATTTGTTCATTTGTGTAAAATAATATTGACAGGACTGTAAATTTGTCTAATGAAAAGCTTAGCTTTTTTAATTTTATAGTTTAAAAACATGACAAACATTTTGTTGCGAGCTGAAGCTCATTCCAGAGATTTTAGTTTCCCTAAAACTCACTTTTCCTGCTTTTGACCTTTGTCGGCCGGCGCGTGTGTGAGCCGGTCCGTGGCTGTGTCCGCCTCGCCTCCTTTGTCGACCCGTCTCACATGTCCCGTCGTTTTGCCTCCATCAGTGTTTGAGTGCAGCTCAGGCTCATGATGACCCATCTGTGATTTGATGTTCTGTGTCCACACTGGTTTAACATCTCTGTGCTGCTAACATCCAATTAAAGAGGGAAACGTCTGATGGGGGGGCTGCGTCCGACCTCTTGATCCCTAACAGATTCTTTGTCTTCTTCTTGAGGGTCACAGACGAACCTGAGAGAATCAGCAGATCTCCGGTCACAAGGTGAGTACCTGTTCTGAACGACACAACAAATCGTCACGTTTCTAAAGAACGAGCTGAAACGGGCCTCCAAGGAGCCTCTTGGACAGACTGACAGGATATCAGCTGTGACTCTTTCTCAAGTGAAAACGATAACAAGACGCACTTTGTGCTGATAGTTCGTACCGTGCACTTCTTTCGAGCTTTTGTCGCAAAGAGCACGAGTTAAAAAACGTAATAGTCACTGAATGTTTTAGCCAAAGAAAAATTTAAAACGGCACCAGAACTTTTAAAGTTCTGTGTAATTTTAATGAGAAAAACATAAAAAGTTGCATCCAGACAAGAACCCTTATGACGTAACTATTTGTCCATGAAAACCAAAAATGATCTAACTGAAGGAAAATGTAACTCAAATACCGTACTTTTCACCATACAAGTCACACCTTTTTGAATAAATTTGCGTGCCCTGCTACTTATATGGCGAAGCGACTAATATACGTATATACACCCCATGTTTATAAACCAATTTCTGGCTGAGATCTGACGATTTCATTCATTCTGACATGGAAAATATTGAACACTACCATTTTCAGCCGCTAGAGGGCAGTCAAGTCATATGGCAAGCCAAGTGTCGCATTAATATGGAAAACTGGTTATTAACGAGACACTTGGCTCTCCATACAAAGCTGCCTTCATCTCGCTCTGGAACTCCTGGAGCAAACGTCAAATCAGCTGCATTTCACTGCTCCGCCCAGGCGAAATGCAGCTGATTTGATCGTTAAAGTGCATTTATTAAGAAAAAGTTCAACTGAGACACACCTTCACTTAAATGTTGAGCAAACAAATAATTGTTTTTATGTGTTAATCTTTTAAATTCTTGTTAAAGTCCTCCCATGCACAAATCCGTGGCCGCCATTTGGCAGCCAGTCGATTTTTGGCACAACACCGGCCCACACTTCTGGGTTGTCAGCGGTGGCGCATAATAGATGCGACTTTTATACGGCAGCAAATACGGTAATCACTTGATGCTCCGTGGGTTTGTGGTATACTCAGTACAAAGGAAAGGTCCAAATAATGCAGTTTCTGGTAGATTTATTCCCATTGGCAGCCAAACGGTTTGGTACATATCACAGGATCCCTTCCTGACACACCTGCTCTAGATCCTGCGTGTCTGCTCAGGTCGTTGCTCCACTTCCGACTGGTAAAAAAAAAAAAGTATGACCACCCACGTGCCTCTAAACCTCCCTAAAGTACATATTTATACCTCTAATACCCACATCCCAATCAAAAATAAATATGTAAACTAAACAAATTACTAACCAACAAATGTATCCTGAACAATTATGATTAAAGAAAAATCAAACCTAAAAAATAAGCAAATTTATAACCTGATAAACTAAGTTCAATGACTTAACAAAAATAGACAAATATACCTTAGATACAAGAAAAAATGAAAAATAGAGTTCACTTCCTCTGGTTTAGTCTGAAAGACTTTTTTTTTCTCAATGTCCCAACTTCTAAAGTTTAATTTTTAATTTTACTCCTTGACTTCTTCTGAGCGGACCCAGTAATCTGGTGTTGACCATCGTCTGCAGGATCAGTCGTTATTTTTCACAGAAGCAAAAAAGCTTTTGTGACTCCAGCTGGGCGCTTTACATTTTACCGACTAAACATTTAATACATTTTTATGTAGAATTCCTACAAAGTGCTTTGCAACAAAAATAAACTGTAAAATTAGAGAATGATCATCTTATAAGAAAAATGATGAAAAATAGTATAAATCACTGAAACAACTGTCAGAGACTGATTTAAGGTCAAACCAAAGCCAGTTTGCAGATGTTGCATTCAGATTTTGTCTAACAATCACAGTGTGTCAAAAGGAATTTGTTTAAATAAAGTTTATTAATTGTTTTGTGGCTCTTTGAAAAGCTGCTGCTTTCTCAAAACGTGTTGTAAATAAAGAACACAGAGGAGGTGCAGACAACAATAGATAATCATATAAAAGCATACAAAATGAAAAATACATAGAAGAAATTATATTAAAAAAAACAGCTACATTATAAAGATAAAGTTAGAGAGGCCAGACTGAGATGGTCTGGACATGTCCAGAGGAGGGACAGTGGGTATACTGGTAGAAGGATGTTAGAAATGCAGCTGCCAGGAAAAAGACAAAGAGGAGACGTATGGATGCAGTTAGAGACATGGAGGTGGTTGGAGTGAGGACAGAGTGAGATGGAGGACGACTCGCCATGGCAACCCCTGAAGAGGGAACAGCCGAAAGAAGAAGAGTTTCCGTCAGCGAGGAATGTTCTGCTTGTCGTAGAGTTAACAAAAACCTCTGAAGCCGCAGAAATCCACCTAAAGCACCAGTAAAAGGAGGAGCGGCATCGTTCACTCATTCTGTTCATTTTATAACATCTGCATGTTATTAATTAAGAGCTTCCAGATGTGGTCATAAAAGGTTTCCTGTCCTCCTCTCGGCTCCAGCTGCTGCTCCCGTCCAGTGTCAGGTTAAGCTGAGCAGGTAACGCTGCAGCAGCGTCGGGCTCGTCGACGCTGCCCATCGTCCGTGTGTGGCTCGTGTCGTGCTAGATGATCCCACACCTGCACAGCTGATGTTTTGGTGTTAGCTCCTGTGTCTGTTTGAGGAAGTGCCTCTGTAGATATTTTGAAACTGTAGTCAACATGTCACGAGGCGTCTGTGTTTTATTTATGCATCTGTGTTTGAAGATGTCAGAGCAGTAACTGAGGTTCTGATAAAAATAATCATCTGACTGAAAAGTACAGATTTATTCAATTTGTTTTTAATTATGCGTCTTCTCTTCTTTTTCCCTAAACAATCATTTGTTCACTTCTCTGCATTTCACTCCTACCCTCAAAACTCTTCCTCCTTCTCTCTCTCCCCTTTTCTCCCTCCCTCCCTCGTCAACCCTCGGACGCCTCACACCAACCTCACCTCGGTTATTCCCTTCATGTTTCACATCCTCCCTCCTCTCGCTCTCTCCAGTCGCCATCTATCTGGGCATCAAAAAGCGGTCGAGCCCCGGACCCCCCGATGCGGCTGGGATGTGAGGGTGCGGAGCCCCCGAGACCCGGCCGAGGTGGTGCTGGCTCTGCGCGAGGCGGCGCAGGGCTGCGGCTGCCAGGTCCACCTGGCCGGGCCTTTCCTCCTATCCTGCACCCACGGAGCAGCCGGCGCCCGAGTGGCCTTCGAGGCCGAGGTGTGCCAGCTGCCCACCGGGCTGGGCCAGAGCAGCGGGGTGAAGTTCAAGCGCCTGTGGGGGGCGCCGTTAGCCTTTAGAGACATCGCCACCAAAGTGTCCAAGGAGCTGGAGCTCTGAGAGCACCGGGGGGTGGGGCAGATCGGTGACAGACAGGTGGAGGAGGAAGGACAAACACTCTCCTCTTCCTCATCTGATGTGGTTAGCCTCACCTCCACCTGAAGACCTTCAGCTTCCTGACTCCACCCATCTCAGCTGGACGGATGGATGCAGACAGGCGTGTGGTGACCTTTGAACCCTGCGCAGCACCTGCTCCCACCTAGTTTATGACGCCATAGAGACTTTTTTTTTTTTTTCAACAGAATTGAATTTGAGGCTGATGTGGATGTTGTTGCAGAGAATGATGGAGAGTGATAATTTGTTATTTCTGTTGTTTGTCATTATTCCTTTTTAAAGAGCTGCTATTTAAATAAGTTTTATAATTATTTTTGTGTAATATGTTTTTTTTTTCCCTTTAGTTTTTTTTTTGAAAACAGGCAAATATGTTGTCAGAATTGGAAACGGACGTCACAGAAAGACCTCCGGCCTCCAGAGGGAGACTTGCGGAAATGCGGAGACTTGGCAGACTAAAAGAAGTTTGAAGCAAAACGACGTTTACGTTTCTGCCCGGTGGGCTTGTAGCGTTCAGGTACAAATGTTGACATCCAGCAGATGAGCCACGACAAACCGGACCGTACGAGTCCAACTGTAGGGCTCTTTAGTTGCAGACGGGGTCGATTAGAGGACGCGCAGTAAAAGTTGGAGATTAGAATCGTGGGTTTCCTCACATCAACATGTCTCCTAAAGAGCTCACATTTATTTTAACCAAGTTTTAAGCCGATCAATCTGTTACTTTTACCTGAAGCGGGGCTTTTAGAAAGGATTACTGAGATACTATTTAACGTACCGATGAGAAAATAAAACAAAGATAAAGTTGTTTTTCTTGCTTTAATCAGGTGTTGTGGCCATTCAACTCTGTGATATTAAAAAATAATAATAATCGTCTTCAGTGTTTATAAGAAAAGCCTTTACTTCATCTAAAACATTTGCCAGATGTTTTATTTCTGTAGTTTTTACCGGTTCAGAAGACCCCGCAGCAGTCGGGACTTCTTCCGTCAGAACTTCATAAACTCTGAAGCCGTTGTTGTTGTTTTCCTCACGTCTGGTCCAAACTGCCACAAGGACTGTTCATTAACTCCTTCGTGGGTTTTTCTCTTTTCGTTTAGATTTTGTTTTATTGTCGACATCAATTGAGCACTTTTCTGCCAGTTTTTCCTCGGTACTGCTTTAATCGACCATTTCTTTCTAAAGTATTAATGTCATTTCAAATACCTTTCCATGCAACATCATGGTCCTATTCAGACCTGACATTTACATCCTTCTTGAGTAGTTTGACGACGAGCGTTTTTATTTTGACATTAACACGGCTCACATCTGTTTAAGTCACATCGATGTGGAGTTGTGTGGGACAGAACTCCTTATCCTTATCATTCAGTCGAGATTCAGGAGAAATAAAGAAGCCGACGATGGTTCGTGACTTCTCATTGTCGGAGCAAAGCTGAAGATTTTAACCTGTGATAATCCACCGCGGTGACACCGTATGCTGACGACCATGAGCTGTTCTTTAGCCAGCTTCTAATTGAACATGAGCTCTGAATGTGATGCAGCATAACTCTGCTCAGACTGTTTCGTGACCACCATGGTGGTCTTTAAATAATCAGAACATTAATCTGTTCTGATTAATAAAGTCCCAACAAAACTGACTTCTTATCAATAAAAATAATTCTGATAAATGGCTCTTTATAACTTTTTTTAGCCAAAAAAAGCCATATTTTATAAACATTGCCAAGGATCTGTTTGTTCCCTTTAATCAGCTGGCAGCTGAACACGACTCTGCTGGGCTGTGTTCGGTCCATTCACTTCTTTTTATTTTTTTATTATTAAACCTTTATTTTACCAGGAAGAAATCCATTGAGATTATTAACCTCTTTTACAAGAATGCCCTGTCCATGTCAATAAGAGTTTCAACACCAGGGCTATTCAACTGGTGACCTGGGGGCCAAATTGGCCCACCGATGAGCTCAGTTAGGCCCACCAATGGGTTCATTTTTAAATAAAACTGGATTTTAAACCGTAAAACAAACTTGATGACAATAACTGCTGTATGTCCGGCTCCTGAGCTCTTGCTTTCAGTAACTGTGGCCCCCTGAGCAGTTTAGTTGAACAGTCCTGTTCTACACCGTGGCTCAGGACGGACTGCCCAGAGGTGGACTAACAGGATCCAGACCATCTCCAATGGTGGTCTGAGTGAAAACCGTTTCAACGCACTTTGAGGTCCTTCACACCAGTACTTAGCATGATCCAATTGTAGTCTGATTACTCAGGACAGCTGTTGGTACCAGGTCTGAACGAGGTCCTTGACTTTCCATGTTACTTTTAAAAACAACCTTTCAACTGTTGATGTGCCATTTTGTTTGAGTGATGCCACAGTTTGAAAACATCTTTATCCTTTGACTAGTTTCTCCGTCTGTCCTTTGAAGCGATGGTTTTATTTGTGCTTCGAACCTCCGCAACACACCAACTGTAGACTTCTGTTGACCAGCCAGACTGAAGCGCTGCTCGAAAGACTGTTGACCCTTCAGAGACTGTTATCCAGTCAGACGGCCTGACGAGCGGGACGTTTGAGAGAGGAATGTGACCACTGCTTTGTTTGCTTTTCTAAAAGCACTTTTCTGCTCATCACAGAACAAACGTACGGAAATCTGAATTGTACAGTCGACCAAACGCTGCGTGGACCGTGTGTTCCTGCATTGAGAGGCGGTAGAAACCAGCGCTGCTTGTAATTGTCTAGAAACGAGCAGGAGTAGAGACTTTTCTGATCTGTGCTGCCTGGTGGGAGATTTCAGGTGTCCACTGTCTGAATATGTAAAGCTGTGATTTAGGGCTAGTTACACGACTTGTTTTTGTTTACGACTCGGCCTCGCCACCTGAGGATGTTCTGATGCTTTAAGGCTGCAGGTCTGCTGTGTTTAAACCCAACGTGCGGGCTGAAACCAATACGGACCTGCAATCCTGCATGTCTCCTAGGAAATGTGTGACGCAGAAATAAAGACCTTCAACCTCTTTTACATTTTGCCCTTGTGATTCTCGTTTGCTGCACACCGAAATCCATTTGTTGTGGGGAGTTGCAACAAATCTGCTTTTATTAAGAACATTGAGATGGCGTGATTGTTACATGGGGCTTTGTTTAATAGTTCAGCTATATTTTACAACCAAAAAAAAGTTTTTCTCTTGGTGCGTTTACATAGCCACGACCCGACCGTGTGGATTGATCCCAGGATGTTACAGAGGAGATGGGAGGATGTTTGGATAAAAGAAGGAAACAGAAGACCTGAAGGAAGGAGCAGAAAGACGAGTGGAGCGTCTTGATGGAAAGAAGTGAGCAGGAAGTAGCCGTTTGGCCGAAACCAGTCGATTAACTTCACAACGAGGCTACATGTTCGTTCTTATAAAATAAAAAAACAACAAACGCAGACAGTCATTCAGTCATGGGTTGTCTGTCCACTTCACTTCTGAGCGGGGATCATGCCATCGATGGACTCTCCCTTCTCCAGCTTCTTCTCCATCTCCACCATCAGCTTGACGCCGTCGACCACCAGCTGCACCTGCTCCACCTCGGAGGAGCCCAGACGGTCAGCGTTGGAGATGTCGAACACGCCACCCACGGAGGCCGTGTCCACACCACCTGGAGGACAAAAGACAGGGTGAAACGTCCAGTCGTCGTGCACAGATCCAAACGGGTCTGTTCTGCAGTACCTGTGCCACGTTTCTGCAGACGCAGCCTGGTCAGGATCTCCTCAAACTTGGCGTGTGTGCTGAGCTTGGGCAGCTTGACGTGCACGCCACCACGCAGACCGGTTCCCAGGTTGGAGGGGCAGGTCAGGATGTAGCCCAAGTGCTCGTTCCACATGAAGCCGTGGTTGTGCTTCTTGAAGATCTCCTCAATCTGACCAGGGGAGAGAAAACTGAAGTCATGTAACGTCTTGATGCTCAATAATCCAGTTCGATCTGACAAGGCTGAGTTGGGTTAAGTCGCGTAACGGTTACACGATCAATGCACGCGAGGTGATGATGTAAAAAAAAAAAAAAAAAGTTGCTTTACCTTCTGCAAGCCAACGCAGAAGCGCCTGAAGACCTCCTTCATGTTGCCGCCCTTCTGCATGGAGATGACACGCAGGTGGTCCTCCTCGTTCACCCAGACCAGGAAGGTCTTGCTGTCGTTGTGCCTGCAGCAGCAAAACTTCAGCTCAGTCCAGTAAGTACAAGTAGGGAAAGTAGCAGAACAATGGCTAAAAGCTAAAAGTAGCATAAAGCTGGCCAAAACTTAGGTTGCAAAAATATAGTTAAAAGTGAAAAAGTGCTAGTTGGATCATGCTGAAGTAGCAGACCACCAGCTAAAAGTAACAAAAGTTTAGCTTAAACCAGCCAAAGCTTTGCTGAAAAGATTAAAAGGCTAGCTAAAAGTTTGAAAAGCCTACCCAGAAGCTAAAAGAAGCCTAAATATAGCCAAACATAAAAAGAAGACAAAAGGAACGAGTTTGCTGAAGCAGAGTTTTAAGCGAAGCAACCAGATGAAAGATCTCTCAACATTTACTAAATTAACAGCTAAATGCTGCAGAGACTTTGGGGAAGGCGTTCAGTTGTCCTTCAGATGACCTTTTGACCTTTTACAACAGGCCCCCGTGCCCAAAGTTGACTTCCGGTCTGTGGTTCTCACCAGATGCCTCTGGCGTCGGGCCAGTCGCGGGCCATACCGGCGCAGGTCAGCAGAGGGGACACCGGCTTGTCAAACAGGAAGTGATCGGCAATCAGCTGCTCCTGCTCGGCGTCGGTCATGCCATTCAGGGGGTAGTACTTCCCCTTGAACTCACCCTCCAGGCTGGACAGAGCTGAGAGGGAAAGTATTAATTAGAGGAAGGTTCAGAAGAAAGAAGTAACTAACTGTCCAACAAGGACACAGCAGGTGGACACTCACCCTCAATGGACAGCTTCTCAATGCCTCTGCGCTCGCCACGGCTGTTGTGGGGGGGCAGGGTGAATCCCTTAATGCTGCGGCCGGTACGCACACGGCTGGACAGCACGTAGTTGGGGTCCAGGTCGTCACCGCCCTGATGGTGAAACAAAAGTTTCTGCTTTCGTTCCACTCACTTTGGACAGATTAACGACCGAATATGAGCTGGAGACGCCGACTGGGTAACTCAACCAGGACCAGTGGTCTCAAAGGTTGGGGTCAGGACCCCACCGTGGATCATCAAACACTATCTGGTGATGATCTGAGCGCATATTTTAGCCATACGTAATCATTATGGAGCATAAAAAGCAGTACAAGAGTTGTGGGCTGTTTGTGTCGATACTTTTTTATCGGTTAACGGTACTCGTAGCAAACTATGAAGCCAAACGTGAAAAGTTTAACCTGACCCATAATAAATGGTGCCGCTTGAAAACTCGAGTAGTTTTCCAAATATTTCAATATGCCATTCTGAAATGCTGCCGTGCACTCAATGTGCACGTTTGTCTGTGCATTTAACTCGACAAACCTGAGTGTAAATACGCACCAGTACATAAAATTATTTGATCTCCATCCCATACGGCTCTTCCATGAACATCACCGTTCGTTGTTGACCTACTTTCAGTCACTTCCGTTGGTAAATAAACATGTAGTTGGCAATTTACAACTTTTTAATTTAGATAACCGTTATGAGAAAAGTTGGTCCCGATTTGGTTTCTTTCTCTAAAAAGTTTTTTTTTTTTTAGGGATCGGACAGAGTACTTTTATTTAGCTCATTGTGGCTGAGTTGTTAGAGCAGTCGTTCTCCAATGCAAGAGTTGGGGGTTCGATTCCAGCAGCAGTCACATGTTGAAGTGTCCCTGGGCAAGACACTGAACCCC